AGAAAAACTAGGAACTCAGCATTAAGAAGGAAGTACCGGCGCTATTTTTAAGAGAACAAATTGCATCCATTATTCAGTTGTATGGTAAACTGAGTTATCTAATTCGTGCAGTTGACTGAGCAACAAAGACCCCTTCATTACCTACAAAATCATGTATTATCAGTGTTCTACTTTATCTATGCGCTCGTCTTGCACACTACTCGCGCTCTTTTAGTATGATTGTCCCTATTTATTTAAATTCAATGTTTCTTCTAATTATTTACGTATCCTCATAACGTGTACCTTAGAGAAGCTATTCTCTTCCTTTATGAATACTCAGGACGCTTCAGCTAGCTTCGGCTAGAAGAACGAGCGCATTTTCAACAGAGTGTCATTAGTAAAAGTATGCGTTACCTCATTGGATTTCTCTCACTTTGTATCCAGTGGGACATTGACATTTGCTGTTTACTCGAACACCACATGAACAACCTAATAGCTCCGGAGGGCAATTCGTGTCGTTCCGCACCACTTCTATCGTAGGGGCGACTTGTGCGGCAACCAGATCTGATTGTACTTTCACGATAGGAAAATCATCCAGCCTTAGCTGTACCTTACAGCCTTAGTTGTTAGGCTTGCCAAATTTTAACTGACAAAGTGTTAAGCAAAGCGCAATTAGGGATTCACAGATTACACACAAATTAAACATGCTTATGATTTGCAATGTTAATAAATAATAATTCGTCAACTGTTTACAATTGTATCGTACGATTGGCAGAACATACCACATTGACCCCCGGGTCCATGAAGAGTTGTTCAAGCAACCTCAGTTCCTAAGTTTTCTTCCAACACTAAAAATTGTAATATAACTTCAAGTTTTATTTTATAGTTAGTACACTGAATAATTGAAAAACTCCTTTAGAAACGATTGCTGTCCGCTCGTATAAAGAACAAGATAGATCTTCTCAAAAGCCGCATCTTCAAGGTGATACCTTCAAATTAAGAAGAACTCTAGCGGGCTGTTTGCCCTAATGGACATACGTTCATCCGCTACTTCGAATAGCACACGAAAGCTTATTTTTTTTTTTGGAAAAAAATCAACAAAATCCATCATGACAAAAGACCGCACAATGCTCTCGGCATTTCGGCTATTATCCAACATTTTCACGCTAGAAAAATACAAACTCCATTTTTTTTAATCAGCGTTTGACGTCAATAACGGTTTTCATGCGGTTTCAGAGAAATTTCAGGAAGAATCTTATGAGACAGGTCGAAAAATTGCCACTAAGGTTTGTGTTCGAAGGCCTCAAACAGTCGCTTAGATTTTTCACACGGAGGTTAACAGCCCCCCTAGAAACGAAAATATCATCCAACTACGCTCTAACGGTTAGTCCTTCGAGGCGAATCCTTTGTACCTCTTTGGCACGTTTGACCAAAAAATTAACTCCCTTATAATTTTTTGTACGTAGTACGCTTGAACGACACATTAACTAACGTTGCTTGATGCGTGGTTGCTATGAAAAATTTAATTACGAAATAAAGAAGAATTACTTCGAAAGTGACTAGTTGATGATTTAGGTCTTGTATTTGCGCTGGATGTTCATTATATTGAATAAACATGACCGTTAGGGACCATATACAAATCATTTCATTGGAATATCTTTTTTGTTTAGATAGTTTTAGAGAAAGGTAAGAAAAATGTCCAATTTAAACGCGTGCACCTAGTGGTAATATTCGATGTTTACTTACCAAATGTAAATATGTTTGGTGTGATAAAATAGCGCATACGTTCTGTCTAAACAACATTAAAGAATACCAAGCAGTAGTGCCTCTATCGGTTTCAGCCGCCGTGAATTTTACTGCTCGCATATATATCCAGTGTACAATTTGACAGACGAGAGTAGACGCCCGATTACGTAGTTTGAGTCACGGATTTAGGAGTTGCGTTAATAGCCACAGAACCAAACTGGCTATTACGTTACTCCGTCTGAAACGTTTTTAACCAGCTAAATATTGTTAATTTATTATTCAGAATATATTCTAGTTATAGCCGTTCTGTGAAATTGTATAAACGGTTAAATCGAACTGACCGCTGGACAGATTATATTATATCTTTATTTCGTGCATTGGGAGTTTATATTCCCTCCGGAAGTCCTTTTTTACGGGACGAAGGTCTGTCCTTGAGATTACTGACACCATTACGACTATTATGTATTTTAGGAATGTGGCTTGTGTGACTCTCTCTGGGATGTCTTTTGAACAGACGTTCAACATGGCGCCGTCCGTGAAACAAAATTACATTACAGTTCTCGGGAGTTAAGCTCTCTATTAAAATACTGTGCTTTATTAATATATAATGTCCCAGACCAAAAATGCTTTAAATCATCAACGGTAAAATTACTAACTGCTTATAAAGATTCGCACCGTTGACTATATGCATCACCGTTTAATTCTCGATACTTTCGTTTACAGTTCTACGGCATCGATCCGAAGCTTGTAGGACCGATTTTAGGAAAACGTTTCAAACGTTGATCGTTGTCTACCAAACAGATACGAGCTTACAGGGTTTGCAGGGGTTTACCAGGTATAGTTGAATTAGGCGGTGACTGCGCACTGAAGACTAATTTGTGGGTCGATCGGAAAACGGTCATCTGGCAAGGACGGTTCAATAAACAGCTCACCTTTGGCCAGCATCGAATGAACACGACGACTAAGATTAGCAGGATGTAGACACAAAACTACGTGTCGAAATCAGCTACACGCGATGTGTTGATTAAGGCTACTATGTAATGCAAACACAGTGAAATTTTAATGCGAATATTACCTTTTCCATTAGTAGCGCTGTTTTTTTTTTTAAATTAAGCCAATAGAGCAAAATACGGCTGGACCCACATTGAGAAACCGAAACATTTCTATTTGGAATCGCACGACGTTAGATTACATTCATATTGGAATTAGTAAATATGTTAAAGAAGCACGCGGTGCGTGCAAAATTTCCATTCAAAAGAAATTCCATAATTTTCTTTGAACGAATGGATGACCCAAATCTCTCGGCTTGTTGTTTGTCTATAATTAGAATATCTGAGTACGGCTCTAATGCAAGGACCATATCGCGAACAGCATCAAACGTTCAAGCCCATTGATTTTGGCCCACTGATCAAAATAATCATTACATTTCGTGTTATTACATTATTTCAATAATCATTACTTAATCCCAAATATATTCCGAATCAGAATGCGGTTCTAAGGAACACTTACTGAGACAGTCGACCATTTTGGAATTATATGGAAGGTATGTACAGAGGATGTGGATTGTGATGGCCAGCGTGTTGTTAAGGCCTCTTTCTAGGATACATTACGATCGGGCTGAGAGCTTGTTGTACCTGAGGAAATGTCTACGAAGATGGATTTCTATAAATAGTTCGTTAAGAATAGAATAGCCCCCATCTTACAGGTGTTATCAGATATAGTAAAGATCGAGAGATGAGTAGAACGGGAAATTGGGTTTCAGCTTGCGAATCAAAAGCCCAAAGGGTAGTGATATTATGTGAACCATTAAAGGCAACGTACCATTACTGTCACGCAGAAAATTATTGACCAAACCCGGTCTGCATCTAGAACGACACCGAGTGCTTAACAACGAAGCGTGTCAAAACAAGAGCTTACTTAAAAAAGGATCTTCTACTTGTTTTATTTTTGGATTTTCGAGACCGAACCTATGTCAAAATAAAGGCTACGTCTAAGTCTAGACGCAATTAATCCTCGCCTCGATTTCTTATGAAGAAAACAATATTTGAAAAATTAATTTTCCAGTTGGACATTTTCCTAAGGCTAACAAAAGAAAGGGCAGATATAGACCACTTTCTGGTTAATGCAGCTGAAGGTCTTCTAGGTGATACTGTTTAAATTGACGCTAATACGTATGGGTAGTGGCTAGTCTGTGCGTATTACGTTGACCACGTAAGAGTGGGCTGGACTACAGGATATTATTGCACGATGCCTTGATTTCTTTTTTACTAACATTTATCAATATTCTGAGTGCGCGCTTAGAGTAGCATACCAATACACATTTATTTAGTGATATCTCGAAACATTAATCCGTTCTCTTTTATTGTATCCCACTTTCTTATAATTGATTGTTTTTTAATACGTACAACTAGATTAGAAACAACTTTTCGAGGTTAGTCCCACTTTCTGTTTATCAAAAAATAACATCTGGCAGAAAATGTTCAACGGAGAAATGGAATCAGTGGGGAGCGAACTAAAAGGGCAAGATGACTGGGGTAAACGGTCCACTCCTGCAACAAGTGTAAAGTAGTTTTTGTCGTAGACGCATTCTCCTAAGGCACCCAGCCTTATCGAACTGCTGCTTGTCTCGGTAAAGTTGCAGCAAAGTACTTTCAACTTGAAGTTAGATCTAAACTAACTTTATTTTTCGCTGTATGCGCACTCACAACGTTTGCATTGCTCAAAAAATTAGTATCTGCTCTACGAAAGTGAATGCAGGCATATGATTTTAGACCATCTTACTTGGTTGCGCAGGGCATTGTCCGTCGGAGAGCCACTGCAGTCAACCGGCCCTGTACGACGGGGTTCGTTTCGTTCAGTGATCTATTATGGGCGGAACCGTTTCGCCTGTTGGTTTGCCTTTTCTGATTTTTTTTCGGTGGCTTCTTGCTTTGGCGCTGGCGCCGGCACCGACGGCGGCCCCGTGCCACCGCTAAGAGATCTGGTGCAACGGCGCTGCTGCTGCTCTCCGCTCTTGATGTCGATACTCCTTTTTTATATCGTCCCATGCGCGATGTTCGTAGAATGGCCGCGCGCAACGCATCAATGAGTCATCGGTGCAGCATGGCTATTTCGATAATTCCACGAAATGTGCTGCCGCTGTCCACCGCTGTGATAGTGTGTCATTGTCCTTAACAAGGTCTCCGAGGAGAGAGACACGACGGGGTTCGTGAATAGCGAATATAAATTCCGCTGGCCACTCGAGAAGAGTCAGATCTCCGTGTGATCCCAGACTAAAAGAACAGAGTAGACATGAAGGCCTTCATCGTCCTTGCTTGCGCCGTAGCCGTTGCTAACGCCGGAGTGCTCCTCTCGGCAGGCAACTCCGTGCAGCACCGTTCTGAGGACGTAAGTGTAAACGATAACTACAATAATGATGACGACAGAAAAATCCCTCTTATATTCGAAGTTAAAAGAAGAACATGGCAGGAGGCTTTTTCTGTTGTCGCCTCCGCTGCTATACGTAGTCCATGTTAGTCCCGAACGGTCTGGCTTTACATACAAGCGAATATCTGTTGCAGTAATAGCATTCGTAAGCTAGATACTAATCTAAGAGATGTAATATACATGTTTGCTTTGTCGCTGCTGTTGTTGCAATTATAGGGTCTCGGCAGCTATTCCTTTGGCTACGATGAGAAGCACCCGACCGGTGGATCTTTTCGTCAAGAGTCTGGCTCGCCCGGCGTTAAGGTTGGAACTTATGGACTTTCAGTGGCCGATGGTCGCCAGCGTGTTGTCAATTATGTTGCTGACGAAGCTGGATTCCGTGCCAGCATCTCAACCAACGAACAAGGAACCGCTCCCTCGCTGCCTGCTGCCGCTGCCTACAACGCTGCTCCGGCTCCAGCAGTTGCTATAGCCGCAGCTCCCGCGATCGCTGCTCCTGTAGTAGCTGCTGCTTCGTACGCTGCCCCCGCTGTTGCTACGATCCATGCGTCTCCGGCTGTAGCTACCAATACTGCCTTTGTTGCCCAAAAAGTCGCCGTCGCCGCCCCCGCCGTGGCTGCCTACGCTGCTCCCGTTGTTCACAAAGTCGCCTCCGCCGCCCCCGTCGTGGCAGCCTATGATGCTCCCGTTGCTCACAAGGTCGCCGTCGCCGCGCCCGCCGTAGCTGCCTACGCTGGTCCCGTTGCTCACAAGGTTGCCATCGCTGCTCCCGCCGTGGCTGCTTATGTCCCTGTTGCTGTCGCTAAGGCCCATTCGTACTCCTCCGCCGTAAACCACGGAACCGTCCATGCTGCCCCGACTGTAGCTGTGGCTACCCCCACCGTGGCCGCCTATGCTGCCCCTGTCGCCCATATTGGTCACAAGGTCCCCGTCGCTGCCCCCGCGGTGGCTCACTACGTTACCCATCAGGTGGCCGCCGGCCCCGTCGCAAAGGTAGCCGTTACTGCTGCCCCAGCAGCGGCTGCCTATGCAGCCCCCGCGGTGACTCATTACACCACCCATCAGGTAGCCGCCGGCCCCGTTGCTAAGGTTGCCGTTGCTGCACCGGCTACGGCTGCCTACGCAGCCCCTGTCTCTCATGTCGCCCATGTTGTTGGCCACAAGGTTGCCGTCGCTGCCCCCGCCATCGCTTCATACTCAGTGGCCACCCCTGCCATACATAAGCACACCTACGTCGCTACACCCTCCATCTACGGCTTCGGATACCATGGCCTCGGATACGTATGACTCTATCACCAGAGGGTCATGGTTTAGATCAGCTACTGAATAGTGTTCACATTTGAAAATATTTCGGATGTATATAAGGAAGTTGCATTGGCAAAAATGAAAATGAAAAGAGCAAATGAGTTGAGTAAAGCATATGCAGGTTAAACGTACCTCAATTTGTGTTTGATGTTATTAGTTTATCATTAGTAATTATATCAATAGCTAAAATTGTACGATACAAGAGAAAGCTAAACAGATCGGTTTGTCCCTTAATAGATCACGGCAGCCATAGGTAAGATGTAGGCTTAAGCCCCTAGAAGCAGTCTTCTGCTATTTTCCTTGGTTTACCATCATTGAAAATTATAAAAAAAAGAAGAGCCTGAAGGCATTACGTATCTCGCTATAACAATTCCCTTTAACTCAAGAACCACTGTACTGGAACAAATGACTTAGCGCTATCTATATTAGAACCCAATCATGCGTAGGAAAGATAGGATGAGAAAATGGCTACATCTTACTGTTTATGAAGACAAGCTTATAACGTATTTTGTGCAATATCAAGGGGCATTATAAGAAAATTAAGTTTAGTTCAATTATATAATCTCATTGAGGAGGCTATGAAAAGTGTTTCTCAATGTTTTTGCCACGCTGTGAAAAATATTAGAGATGACTTCCGAGACAAGTCCAAGACATGCATCATAGCAACAAGTAGTTATATAACCATTTAAAATTGACGGGCATCATTTATTTACAATAGTCACGAATAGAAATCAACAGTTAGAGGATCTTGGTTTTTCAGTCATATCGCATGCAAACGCGTTTAACCCAAAGGTGTTCATATCTGTGAAGACTATCTACCGTATTAAGATTTGATACGCGGCAAGGTTAAAGCAGCAGTCTCTTTTGATTCGCATTATTTCTCGACCGTATGTGTCTTTGCTACCGAAATCTACTTACTTGAAGCTATCTTCGAGACATTTTTACCGCTAAAGGGAAAGCCACAAGATACTTATAAGAAGACTCTTACGTAAATCATATAGTTTCTAGGGTATATATATATCTGCCTATACCAGGATAGGCACGGATTACATTTTCTCACTGCTTTATCGTTGCGATGCTTATAAAATATTTCATCCACTTGCCTAAACTAACTGAATATGATTTAAACTAGAAAAAAATTACTATACGGTAAAAATTGAATATAAAAAAATGTAAAGATTCTTAATAGTCTTTCGAATTTTCATTCTTATAAAAATGCCAGTAGTTTGACACAACACAACCAAGTTGACAGATGTTGTCGTTGTTGACCACATGCCACATGTGCTTACAATTAACAAAAGTTTCCACAGCCATACCCTCATGGCGCACTATATATAATAATACTAGACAACATCATTGACACGTTCGTCTTATTGCCGGTAACCGGTATCATGGATAACTCCCAGTGGCTATGTAAGTTTCGATACGGCCAAGCGAGGTTCTAGTAAACAGTTTCCTAGCACTCTTCGGACGCCATCTAGAACTAGAGATTACACTGCACAGCGGAACTTACTTTAAATCTATCGTAGACAAAACTTAATATTTAATCTAGATAACTTAACACTCAATCATTTCAAGCATCGTCTTCTCTAGACATAACCTTAGCGACTCTTCGTACGATGGGGATCTTTCTTCTATCCGTCATTCTACAGCTGACCCCTTCAAACGAGAGTGATTGATCAAATAATTACACTTCGTAAGATTATGTGCCAACAACGTAGATACCTTTTATGGTTGTTTTTTGCGAAATAAATAAGCTTCACGAAACGAAAAAGCTTGCGGCAAAGGTACCTAATATCGCATTAACAGTACTCTGTAAGCTATTACATTAACTTCAACAAAAAAGTTGCCAAAGTTATAAAATAATTAGTATAAAAATTATAGTATTATAAAAAAATAATTAGTCGTTAGTGATGATAGTCTGTATAGGATGACAGCTTACGTCGTAGCTTGACAGTCTTCCTAAACTGTACGCCTTCTGAAAACTGCGTTACTGAGTTCTTACCTTTGCGGAGTTGTTACCCGTAAAAAATCTCCATTTTTATCAGCCGACTCGTAGGCGATAGACAGGGCCAACGGTTTACGATTAGGTGGCCGATTGAAACAACAGATACCTAAACATTAGATGAAATCTCCTTCTAAATTTGCCTTAAAGGTGCCATCCTGGTTTAGATGTATGTAGGCACTTCGTTTTCGGTACCTCACTCGATACAATGAGTCCGTGTCAAATCATGCAATAATATATTGCATTTAGGGAAGGAGCTCCAGTGTACTATTTTTCAAGATTTTTTTTTATATATGGGTAAACCGTCTGTGAAAATGAAAGCAGCTATAAAGTAGCGTTTTGCGTTATCTAGTAATTAGTTCAGAAAATTTTAGTACTGACCTTGCTACCTACAATGTAATGGTAGAGTTTTTTAAAAATAAAACACAACTTTTCTGTGTTGTAGCTACACATTTTGTATTGTTGAAATAAGCTGCGCACTATTCCATCGCTGATTCAGTGGTAACTGATTAAAGAGTTGTTTATTTACTAGGTAAGATGTTCTTCCAAATAAACAAAATAATTGCTCTGTTCACACCACAGTTTATGGGCAACTCTAATCTATCTGATTCAACACAGAGCCTCGAATAGAATTTCATTACGTTATTATTCTTATTCGATTCATTTAAATATATATTTTTTGTTGTGAGGACGTTGTTAGGCTTACTAAGCGAAGCAGTATCAAAAAGAATCCTAGTAAAAATATTGTAGCCTTCATTTGGGAAACCAACTGACTCAACTGTCAAAATGAACCAGCTCAATTAAGAGCTGTAAACGTGACATTTCTTCGAAAAGCAACATCTTAAGTTTTGTATATAATCAAGTGGGCCTTCATTTAATATGGACTCTTTGTTGTACCAATACAAACCTAAGAATACAATGATCGATTTTTTCAAGGGGTTGTCAATACGTTCAAAGCAGCGAGAAGAAATTAGCCGTGAACGTCTGTACAGAAGAGAAAACCGCCAAAAGTAAGCAGTTCCAACGGAAGGTTCTAGTGCTAAATTTAGAAGCCTTCATGCGCGTGATAGTTTGCTCTTTTCCTAATTTCTGCTTCGGTATTAGGAGTTGAAGCACGCTACTTTAAATGAGCCAACCACCCAACCATAACGGCTTCTTTGGCCTTTGTCAGGCCGTTCTGTCGGCCTTCTTAAATCCCTCCTTTTCCGCTTCATTTTACTGCTGGTGTGCTTCCTACAAACAAACACACATTTCGCATGTGTCCGATCTCTTAACTAGAGCTTATTGTACATAACCAAGCATTTCATATAAGACTGCTCTTCGCTAAACGGCTATACCTCTTAGACTAGCAAAAGGCCTCTTGAAGCTATAATAGAAGATTTAATCTTCTAAAAAATAACTATAAGCTAAATAGTCAATAACGGATTCAAATGTTTAGACGTTGCTAACTTTTGGGATATTTAGCGCCTGTGGGCCAGCTGGACATCTATTGCAAAGTTGCTGATCGACGCGCCGATCTAGTCTTTCCTTCGAAACTACACTTTCACAACAAGAAAAAAAAAAATGCTCACAGATCCGTTTGCTTTACTATGGCCATTTCAAGTTGGTTCTTTTTGTATCGAATATACGCAATTTTTCCGCAATCAGTAGTGGTATTTTTATTGCCCATTACGCAGTTTTTCGTAAACGTTTGGCCGGCCCGTGCTCGCTCCGTGTTTATCGTAGGAGCGAGCATTAAACGTTGGCTTTGATTATCAGATCCGTCGTAAAGATACGACCACAGAATGAATAATATCTTCCGAAGAAGAGTGTTGTCAGAAATGCGGCCTAGCAATTGTTCGACACACCAAATTTCTGAGTTTTGGGAACATTTAGAACGAGCAACGGGTAGTTGAACCGTGGACGGCATTTATCGTAGGCACGATAGCAGTCACGCTGGATGATTTAATGCTAACGACTCTCATCAAAATGATTCTGTAGTGTGTAACGTTCTCTGTATCCTTCAAACTGGTAGTGCAAACATTTAGAATGACCTAAAAGTGGGCACCTTTTTAATTGTATAAAGATAATTATCACAACACTGCTATAACCAGTAACCGTACTCATATAGGTAGTTTATGATGATATGTAGGTACATCTTCAGCATTTTAGCAGTATTGTGGGCAGCTTTTTCAGTGCTTCCTTCTAAAGATTTGTGCGCTTTATACTTCATAACTTCTGTTCATAAATTTCCAGCGAAATTCTTACCTATCATTGCAACAAAACTTCTTCTTGGGTAAACATTTATTTCACAAGAAGCAAACAGAGATCAGTTTATTAGTTCCTTTAATTTTTTTCCTTCTTTAACTTTTCACGAGCGCCTCTCTTTTGTCTAAGGCCACATACATGCAGGCTGTTATTAGGAGCTCAAATTTAAAGCGAGTAAAACTACGCTCCTCATTATTAATCGGCTAACTGAAGTTTCCTTGCACAGAAAAGGCTCGACTCCCGTAGAACTGGGCTCGTATTCTAGTTATGTGATGGGTAAATCATCTAGGGATTATTAAAAGACGAAGGTTCGTTAAAACGAGCTGTCTAACTCAAATATGTCTGCACAGAGCGGGGCCATTCGATCAAGGATCTCGTCTACGACGTCCCATAGACGAATCGCTCTTGGTGTGCACGTAATAGATAAATGGCTCTACCATAAAGTAATCATCAGCATGTAGCTGGCATCATCACTGGCGTTGCCTCGTGTAGCGGATGTCATCGGTTACGCGATGGAACTGGTTTGAATAATGACTGAAGAAACGGACGCGTTATCATCGCTTCACCCCTGCATGCTAGCCACTCTCGATTACAAGCACGTGTAGGATCAATGTCCGAAAGCAACAATGTTAGCGCAGACAAATGGCTAATTAGATGGGTTCGTTTGATTGTAGTTGGTGATCTGCTCGCTTGTCCCATCGCTTCCTTCCCTGTTTGGTGCTTTCATACGTCTTCTTCTTCATTTAAACTTCTGGGCTACACGAAGCCCACCGTTCGGTCCGTTTGGTGTTCTGCTTCGGCCTTGATATCCCTCGCGATTCTTCTGGACGCGAAAATTGTCCAGAGGCGCGTCCGTTTGCTAAAATACAAAATACATACA